CACCCTCGCATTTCTATCTTCCGGCATGCGTTCTCAGACCATGCAACCCCGTGAAGCTCTTTCCACATGTACAGAGCCAGCCCGGACGTTGGGCGAGTATCTGAGTCCGGGGGCTAGCATAGTCGTCACCGAGAGTATCAATTTGATACCAGAGTCTCACCTGACAATCACGCTGTTAATTAAATATGTCAAATGCCGCTAATTGTTCAAGCAGCCAGCCAGTCAGCGACAACAATCGAAACACCAAACATAAATATGGCAAGCCAGCGGCGTGTTCTCTGCATGTTGACGTGGACACAGACATAGATTTAAAATCGGAAGGCGAGACAAGCCGTGCAAGCTAATTCATCTCAGTTGTCAGGTGAGAAAATGAGACAAGCCATGCAAGCTAATTCATCTCAGTTATCAGGTGAGAAAATCACAGGCAGTTCGTTGTATTCTACAGTATCTACTAATGCCCGTTTTTCTTTATCCATGTTCTCACCCCATACCACCCCCCTACCCCCGGTTTATTACACCTCATGTTTCTAGTATTCATGTTATTAACACATGCCAGTCTAATGAGCGTATATGCCAACAATCCTGATTAAAAATGAGATGTCAATGTGTATTATTGTTATGCCAACTGAGAAATGAATTGAATAAGTATGTAACTGAGGCCAGAAGGGTATGAATATAGACGGGCCTGCGTGCCGTATTCCTATTCCTCTACAAGGAAGTTTGTTCGTTTGTTCCTTTCCTTATTTACTCTCGACTGCCCATCCTTCTGTTCCTACAAGTCTATCGACCTACTCAGTTATCGATCAATCAACTTACCTAACTACCTACCGAACAACCTTTCTGTCTTTGTCTATACTATATCCGTCTGTATCTCTGTATGTCTCTTCGTCCTTCCGTTTGTCCTTTTATCTCTCCCTGTTTGTTTACTTTTCCTCTGTCCGTCTATCACTTACAAGCAGACATACAGGCCCACATACACACACTCACGCAACAACTTCTACAATTACAGATACACACACTCATACATAAACACAAACGCCTACCATACACACATACATACCACACATGTAAATGTCACACATACACACATACATACCACACATGTACAAGTCACACATACACACATACATACCACACATGTAAATGTCACACATACACACATACATACCACACATGTACAAGTCACACATACACACATACATACCACACATGTACAAGTCACACATACACACATAAATACCACACATGTACAAGTCACACATACACACATACATACCACACATGTGCAAGTCACACATACACACATACATACCACACATGTAAATGTCACACATACACACATACATACCACACATGTACAAGTCACACATACACACATACATACCACACATGTACAAGTCACACATAACACGCATACAAGAAGAGCATACACACCTTATTTAAATATTAAAAAAAAAAATTATGCAAAATTAATTTATAATTGCATTGAAGGTAGCATACAATCACTTGTAAGCATCAAATGAAAAAGTTTGGGGTTAAATGACTAGGAACTCTTTGTATTTTTAAGACCATGTGGAAGCTGGTTCCATAAATAAGCAGCAAAATATGCTAAACTTGTTTTAAATACATATATTCTAAGTTTAGGTAAATGTAATAAATTTAACCTCTTGCTGTTCGTAGGATTATATATAATCAACTGGAAAAGGTAGCTTGGAGTATTTTGAGATACAGTTTTATGAATACATTTAGCCTTGTTAACAATTTAACGTTTACTAAGAGGCAGAAGTCTTAGATGGCTTTAAAGATGATTTTTTGTCGATATGTTTTCTACCTGAAACCATACGTAAAGCGCGATTTTGAAGGGACCTTAGTCTTTTGACATTAGATTTGGCGCAACCATTCCAAACTGTGGAGCAGTAGTCGACATGTGTTTGGATGTAGAACGCGTAGAATATATTTCGCGTATCTGCATCCAGGAATGCTGAATTTTGGCAAGCTGATAAACTATTTTTGGGGGTAATTTTCTTAGTTATTACACAAACATAGGAGTTCCAAGTTAAATGGTTGTCAATCGTAAGGCCTAATGTTTTGTGCTCAGTTACATTAACAATAGGTAATTGATCTATGTTAAGCTTAAGTGGTGGTTTGTGCAATGCTAATGTTTGTAACTTTTTTCATGTTGTGATAAGCATAGATTTAGTTTTATTAATGTTAACTTGCATGCGATTGCTAATGCCCCATTTAATACGATTATTTACCTGTTTCTATAAAGAACAGGGCAACTCATTAAAATCCTCATGATTAGTATAAATTGTACATTCGTTTGCAAACAGATCACATGTTATACTGAGATAGAATAGAACGACGTTAATATACGTGGCAAAAAGTAATGGACTTGGAATCAATCCATGGGGCACGCCTGTATTTATCTAAGTGGATTCTGAGAGACAGTTATCGAAGGACACTACTTGCCGTCTGTCAGATACAAATGACCGCATTATTTTGACCAAGTTAATGTTGGTATTCAAAGATTTTAATTTGTTAACAAGAATATCACGATCTATCATGTCAAAGGCTTTTTTAAAGTCCACAAACACTCTTCCACAAATGTTACCGCTATTGACATTAAAATGACTGTTGTCAGTCATGTTTGTCAAGGCCGTATGGTAAGAATGTTTAGGCCTGAAGCCTGATTGACAATCGATTATTGAGATATTTTTAGTTCAATGCTGCAGTGTAATTTTGTGTATGTGTTTCTTAACGGCTTTGATAGTGACGAGACGAGAGAAGTGGGTCAATAATTACCCGGAAAGTTAATATCTGCTGAGACAGGTTTAGGCAGACACAGACACACATACATACACATACAAACAGATTCACATACACAGAAATACATACCAGGCACACAAACGAGCACTCAGACACACACACCCAGACACAGACAGGGACACAGACAGACAGACAGACAGACAGACAGACAGACAGACAGACAGACAGACAGACAGACAGACAGACAGACAGACAGACAGACAGACAGACAGACAGACAGACAGACAGACAGACAGACAGACAGACAGACAGACAGACAGACAGACAGACAGACAGACAGACAGGACAGACAGCAGGCAGGCAGGCAGGACAGGCAGCAGGCAGACAGGACAGGCAGGACAGGACAGACAGCAGGACAGGCAGGACAGATAGATAGATAGATAGAGATAGATAGATAGATAGATAGATAGATAGATAGATAGATAGATAGATAGATAGATAGATAGATAGATAGATAGATAGATAGATAGATAGATAGGATAGATAGATAGGTAGGTAGGTAGGTAGGAGAGATAGGTAGGTAGAATTAGATAGTAGGTAGGTAGGTAGGTAGGTAGGTAGACAGATAGGACGGACGGACGACGGACAGGACGGACGGATAGATAGACGGATAGATACGGATAGATAGACGGACGGACGGACGGATAGGACGATAGACGGACGGACAGGACGGACAAGGACGGACGGACGGACGGACAGACGGACAGACGGACGGACGGACAGACAGACAGACAGACAGACAGACAGACAGACAGACAGACAGACAGACAGACAGACAGACAGACAGACAGGACAGATAAGACAGATAGATAGATAGATAGATAGATAGATAGATAGATAGATAGATAGATAGATAGATAGATAGATAGATAGATTAGATAGATAGATAGATAGATAGATAGATAGATAGATAGATAGATAGATAGATAGATAGGTAGGTAGGTAGGTAGGTAGGTAAGGTTAGATAGGTAGGTAGGAGGTAGGAGGGTAGGTAGAATAGATAGACGGACGGACGGACAGGTAGACGGACGGACGACGGACGGACGGACGGACGGACGGACGGACGGACGGACGGACGGACGGACGGACGGACGGACGGACAGGACGGACGGACGGACACGGACGACGGACAGACAGACAGACAGACAGACAGACAGACAGACAGACAGACAGGAAGACAGATCGACAGATAGACAGATAGATAGATAGATAGATAGATAGATAGATAGACAGACAGGACAGACAGACAGATACAGACAGACAGACAGACAGACAGACAGATAGATAGATAGATAGATAGATAGATAGATAGATAGATAGATATGATAGATAGATATAGATAGATAGATAGATAGATAGATAGATAGATAGATAGATAGATAGATAGATAGATAGATAGATAGATAGATAGATAGATAGATAGATAGATAGATAGATAGATAGATAGATAGATAGATAGATAGATAGATAGATAGATGCATGGATGCTGGAGCATGTAAGAACAGACAGACAGACAGACAGTTAGTGGAGCATGTAAGGACCGATGGACACACAGGAGGAAGGAAATGGAGGGGTGTTGATAAGCTGACGTTGCACAATAAACTACCTGTGGTATTTTCTCCTGACAGCTGAGCTGTGTATGTGTATGTGGCTGTGTATGTATGTGTAGGTGTGTATGTTAGAACAAGAGGCCTTAGAATCAAAGCCAGTCGTTGTGTGTCTGTGTATCTTTATGTGTGTGCGTGTGTGACTGTGTGTCTGTTGTTAAGTGGCACAGAACACACATATAACCGTATAGAACATGCATGCAACGTTACCGAACACACATATAACTGTATGGAACATACATATAGCAGTATAGATTATAAATATAACAGTACAGAACATACATAAAACAGTATTGAACATACATGTAGCCGCAAATGAACTATGACAGTTGTATAACAGTAAGCTTGTTGCTTTCCTCAACAACGCTAGGCGGACATACAGACATATATGGACATATAGACATATATGGACATACAGTCATTTATACACATACAGACATATATGCACATACAGACATATATGGACATACAGATATATATGGACATATAGATATATATCGACATACAGATATAAATGGACATTCAGACATATATTTACATACAGACATTTATGGACATACAGACATACCCAGCGTGTCTCTGGTGGTACGCGGTGGAGGTAGTGTTGTAGGCCGGGGTGTGGTGGCTGGCACTGGCTGTCCGTGGCAATGTCTCCAATAGTCAGGGCAACAATCGTAAGCCGTGTGATTACAGAACAGATCGCAGTAACATTCAGTCCCTAAAATGGGCACCCCGCAGTTGTCGTCTCTGCCATCACAACAGTCCTGCCCACGTCGGGTAGCACACCAGGGTCCTTCCAGGTCTGGACCCCACTCGCCGAAAAACCCATGAACACCGCTTGAGGTGGCCAGTAGCATTACACATAGATGCAAACACGCCTGGAGATTCAGACGTCTGGCTGGAGTCACTTGCCTGCACACCGCCATGTTTGTTGATCTCAACTGGCCAGTAACCGTTTTCGTGGGGCGACCAATCAGGAGCTGTAGATGTCAACTTTGGACAGAGGTCGTTCTAGCAAAGTTGGCAACCTACAGACAACACGGGACAAGAATAAGAACAACGTCCAGCTGGTTTCTGTTGCCTTGATGTGCAGGCTATCTGATCCCGGCAGATGTACGGGGAACTGCAAAAACGTTCAATGAGTACACCACCTTCATACAGTCTGGCCTCTCGACGATTCAAGACTGGCTGGTAGGCTGCAACAATTGTTTGATGGTTTGACAAGAGCGGCCTGAATGAGTTTGGCTGTAACGGTCACTGGGTGACTGGACAGTCTCTGCTGTGGTCTGCAGTATTCACTATAAATCTGTTGGTGCTGTAGTTGTTCACTTAGCCAGAGCTGAAATATTCCCGAGCCTTGCTCCCATACGGACACAAGACATGGGATACAATTCTCACAGACGACATCACGGTTTTTTGTCCCAGCAGAATGATCAGCTCTGGAAACTTGTCAGTGCGAAAGTTTGATACTGCGGAACAAAATAAACAAACTTCTGGATTAATTTATCTGCCAGATGTAACTACGTGTTCAGAAGACATATGTGTATCAATAATGATACGCGCAATTAGGGGTAGGACATGCATATGTTAAAAAGGCACGAGCAATTACAGGGAAGACATGGATATGTAAGTAAGGCACGAAGAATTACAGGGAAGACATGGATATGTGAATAAGGCACGAGCAATTACAGGGAAGACATAGATATGTGAATAAGGCACGAGCAATTACAGGGAAGACATAGTATGTCAATAAGGCACGAGCAATTACAGGGAAGACATAGATATGTGACATTTGCACGAGCAATTACAGGGAAGACATAGATATGTAAATAAGCTATCAGCAATTACAGGGAAGACATAGATATGTGAATAAGCTACCAGCAATTACAGGGAAGACATAGATATGTGAATAAGGCACGAGCAATTACAGGGAAGACATAGATATGTGAATAAGGCACGATCAATTACAGGGAAGGCATAGATATGTGAATAAGGCACGAGCAATTACAGGGAAGACATAGATATGTGAATAAGGCACGAACAATTACAGGGAAGACATAGATATGTGAATAAGGCACGAGCAATTACAGGGAAGACATAGATATGTGAATAAGGCACGAGCAATTACAGGGAAGACATAGATATCTGAATAAGGTACCAGCAACTACAGGGAAGACATAGATATGTAAATAAGGCACGAGCAATTACAGGGAAGGCATAGATATGTGAATAAGGCACGAGAAATTACAGGGAAGACATAGATATGTGAATAAGGCACGAACAATTACAGGGAAGACATAGATATGTGAATAAGGCACGAGCAATTACAGGGAAGACATAGATATGTGAATAAGGCACGAGCAATTACAGGGAAGACATAGATATGTGAATAAGGCACGAGCAATTACAGGGAAGACATAGATATGTGAATAAGGCACGAGCAATTACAGGGAAGACATAGATATGTGAATAAGGCACGAGCAATTACAGGGAAGACATAGATATGTGAATAAGGCACGAGCAATTACAGGGAAGACATAGATATGTGAATAAGGCACGAGCAATTACAGGGAAGACATAGATATGTGAATAAGGCACGAGCAATTACAGGGAAGACATAGATATGTGGTCTGGTATAGTCTGGTAAAGTCTGGTATACTCTAGTATAGTCTGACAAAGGCTAATATAATCTAGTAGGTCTATTATAGACTGGTATAGTCTGGTACAGTCTTATACAGTCTGATATTGTTTGGTATTGTCTAGTATAGTCTAGTAAAGTCTGATATAGATGGTATAATCTAGTAAAGTATGATATAGTCTAGTATATTCTAGTATAGTCTAATGAAGTTTGGTTTAATTTGGTATAGTTTAATATAGTGTAGTAAAGTCTGGTATAGTCTAGTATAGCCTAGTAAAGTTTAGTATAGTCTTTTATTATCTAGTATAGTCTGGTAAAGTCTAGTATTGTCTGGTATAGTTTAGTAAAGTCAGATATAATCTAGTCTAGCATTTATAGTATCCCGAGGCAGGGTCCATGCATACAAGTCCAGATAAGATATTTCTGGTAACAAAAAACCCTCACTGGGTCCGACTGTGAAATTCATTGCTTACAACCAGAGGGAATGTAATTACAGAATGTAAACATCTGAGAAGTGTTTCTGATGTCGGCAAGATCTCTTCAAGATCTTCTGATATTCATGTACACAACACACACGTGTGTCTCTAGTTCTCGCTGTTATGTATATAGTACACATGTGTGTCTCTAGTTTTCGCTGTTATGTATCCAGCACACTTGTGTGTCTCTAGTTCTCGCTGTTATGTATCCAGCACACTCGTGTGTCTCTATTTCTCGCTGTTATGTATCCAGCACACTTGGTTGTCTCTAGTTCTCGCTGTTATGTATCCAGCACACTTGTGTGTCTCTAGTTCTGGCTGTTATGTATCCAGCACACTTGTGTGTCTCTAGTTCTCACTGTTATGTATCCAGCACACTTGTGTGTCTCTAGTTCTGGCTGTTATGTATACAGCACACTTGTGTGTCTCTAGTTCTGGCTGTTATGTATACAGCACAATTGTGTGTCTCTAGTTCTGGCTGTTATGTATACAGCACACTTGGTTGTCTCTAGTTCTCGCTGTTATGTATCCAGCACACTTGTGTGTCTCTAGTTCTGGCTGTTATGTATCCAGCACACTTGTGTGTCTCTAGTTCTCACTGTTATGTATCCAGCACACTTGTGTGTCTCTAGTTCTCGCTGTTATGTATCCAGCACAGTTGTGTGACTCTAGTTCTGGCTGTTATGTATACAGTACATTTGTGTGTCTCTAGTTCTGATAGTAGGTCAGACTTGAGAATAGTTGCCCCCAGGTCAACTAACTGAGAAATCCTTGCTTGTTTCGAGAAAATCGAGTTTGAACATTAAAATCATCCAATGCTTTAAATGAGAATTGCGTGTTCTCGTTCTGGTGGACCAGTTTGTTCTCATGTTGAGAATCCACCAATTATTCCTTATCATATTGTCAAGTAACAAATGACAACCCCTAAACAAGCACTCAGGTGAAACTCCTGTAGCGACTTAGTTTTTACGACAACCTACTCTGTTGTTAGACAAGAGAATGTATGCTTTATTTTTTTCAAGATCTCAACATCTGTTAACCTAATTGTGTGTCTCTAGCTGAGAATACTTGTCCATTAATATTAGAACAGTTCAAAGTTTTTTTTTTTTTTTTAAATATAATATCTTTGATGTTTAAAGTTTAGTTTCTAGACGTGAGAATATAATTTCTTTGTTTTTGGAATGTGTTGGGTTCTAAAACGTGACAAATATAATTTCTTTGTTTTGGAATTGTTTGGTCTCTAGAAGTTAGAATATAATTTTTCTCTAAATGTTTCTAAAATAGTTTTTGACGTGTGAATATAAATTGAATCTAAATGTTGAAATCGCTTGGTCTTTAGACGTGGGAATAACATTTCTCTACATTTGAAATACTTGGATCATTAGAACTAGGGAATATCATTGCTCCAAATTTTGGAATAGTTTAGTCTTTAGACTTGGGATATCATCTAGAGCAGGTCCTTAGCAGTACGTCGCTCCCATCACCGTTCTGCTTGAAAATGTGCCATGTACTCCTGCCAGCTCTCCTGCCTCGTGTACTTTTCAAAACGAGTCACTTATATCCTGTGTCCACATTAGTGTCGGTCGGTCCCTGCCCCTCCGTCCTGGTACCATGCCTTCCGCCATTATTTTTCCCAATCGCCAGGGACTTGATAGTTTAGTATAGTGGAAGTATAATTTCTCTAAATTTTTTTTAATAGTTTGGGTCTTCAGACGCAGAAATATAATTTCTTTATATTTTGGAATAGTTTGGTTTTAGACGTAGGAATATAATTTCTTTATATTTTGGAATAGTTGATCTTCAGAATTGGGAATAAACTTTCTCTGAACGTTGGAATAGTCGGTCTTTGGAGGTTGGAATAATTTCTCTAAATGTTGGAATAGCTTGGTCTTAGGAGGTGGGAATAATATCTTTATTAAATATTTGATAGGTTTGCCCCATGCAATAGGAAATAGTATTTCTTTGAACAGGAGCAATTGATTGGAGGGTCATTGATTGGGTAATGAAAAGTTTTAGGCAAAGGCAATACTTGCATTGATTGAATAGAAAATGGGACAAACGGAAGATCTGGATTTCGCAGATTTTCCACTGAGTAAGATAACAAAGAATGTCCAAGAAAAAACAGACAATTTGTCGTCTCCGCATCAAAACAGGACTACAAATAAATTATGAGAGAAACAAATATATTAAAGATACCAACAACAGATCATGTAGATGTCATTTTTAGAGAATAAACCAAAAAAGTAACGAACCATTTCATCTATTCCAACTGCAATTTTCGCTCACAAAGAAATACACACAAACACAAAATTATGATACGCATTGGCAAAGCAATTACATCTTTGAAAGCCCTAAAAAAAAGTAGATATGAAGCTCTAGGTTGTACAGTTTTAATTCTGACATAAGTCAGCGAAAGTTGGAGAAACAGCCAAAGATATGGGACGAAAACGAAATGCATTTGAAGATAAATGCCTGAGAAAAATCATAAACATCAAATGGGATGAATTCAAAAAGAGTCGTAGGCGATGAGAGAAATGGACTAGACAAATACCTGTATCGACTACAATAAGGCAAAGAATGTGGAGATATGCTATGCACACTTTGAGGCGAAATGAGCAAAGATTATACAAAACAGTCGCAGAAATGGGAAACAAACGATCTGAGTGTGGACAGGCCCAGGGCGGCTGTTATTAAAAATTTTGGTTAGGGCTTAAAGGGAACCTAAAAACTGGCAAAACTTGGGGTCAGAAAGCAACATGTAATTCTGATAAAGAGGATGCCAAAGGAAAACTTTAGGAAAAGAATACTTTGA